ATATGTCAGGTTAAGCAAGCGTGAGTTTTGGGTGAGAGAGGTCAGATTCTAGAGACATATCATATCAACAAATGGTATTTTTACCCTTGATCTTTTTACAAGGAATGTTGGGCACCCTGTACTAATAAGTAGGGAAATTTTTCTTGAACAATATTTTTGAGGAGTAAGAAACCCCTTTTGTTAAACACCTGTTAACTTTTCTATTTTTATTAATGCGGAATATGCGTGGGACCCACATGTAATAACAATATTCTAACAATGTCTTTTGGTGCTAGTTTGCCCCTGAGCTCTTTTTAAAGGAGCGTTTTGTAGCTAAAGTCTTGTTAAAATAAATTTAATAAATATTATTAAAATAGTAAATATTTTAATGTTTAATAATTTGAATGTTATTACTAAGAAATATTGACCTTACAAGAAAATTAATATTGATTTAGTTCCTTAAATTTTTTTTTAGTTCTTCTCTGTAATTTTTTTGTCAACTACCAATCTTCTTCCAAGATATTGCATCATTCAATTTTTTTCTTCTAAAAAAAAAAGGGTTGAGAGAAAAATTGCAACTTACCAGTATAGGGTGTCCAATGCTCCTTGAAAAAAATTGAGGGGTAAAAATGAACCTTAACCCAAAAACATAACCCATAGGAATCAAAGTTTCCTTATTTTATCAATTTCATATTTTCTGTCCATGATTAGGATTGCAAATCACTAAACACACTGCTTGATACTAAAACATTCCTCAATCAATTATATCTTCCTCTTGCTTTCTCGAAAGATAATAATGCATTTTGAAATATTCCATGTTGATTAGATTCATTCATCTGGAATCCTCCATGGTTCAAAGGAACATATATGCTAGAAAACAAAAGATGCCAAAGGAATTTGTTGTGTTGCTACTATAATTAGTTTTAGAACCTTTTCAAAACAAATTTTTTTTCTTGTCTTTGATGGACATCTAACCTTAATTTTACTTGATGTGAGTATAAACATGAGAGACGTGTGCAAGTTTTGATTTAATTGTAGACTCTTTTAACAAGGGAGCATCTTCATTCTCATTGCTCTGTGTCTTAAATCTCATTCTTTGCTTTAACAATTCATAGATATATATTCTAAGGGCTCCATAAAACTCTTCCAGATATGATCTGCCACCCTGAAACCTTTAAGCATCATGTGAACATATTCTTAGCATTATTCAGAGATCTTCAATGTTTGGGGAAAAATAGACATTTATCTGTAAGGCCATCTAATATGTTTTTTTCTTGGAAAAGATGCCAATAGAAAAGAAGAATAGAGAACAATTTTCATGATGTGGTAAAGAAAAGAGTCCTAAGGGTATATCTATATCAAATGGTTCAATAATTTTTAATTTGCAATAATGAGCTTAAAACCTTATTTGAATAACACCTTGAGATTACTAATACCCAAATGGAGAAAGAAAAGACCTTTGGAAGTTTTATCAAAGAAGTGGTTCAGCTTTATGTGAAGGTTTCTAGGCAATCTAATAGAAAGCTCTAGCATCACTCATGGGGATTTCGTTTTAAGTCGATGTATAGCTTCCATTAAATAAATAAATATTTGGAATTTTATCTTCATATGATTTGTAGATTTTTTTTTTTTGGTAATATGAGATTTGTAGATGTTGATTTGCATATAAGTCCAAATTGAAGATTAGGTAAGCAAGACCACCCACTAATTGAACTACACACCATATGTTGTGAAACCCAAAAAAGGCCCAAGGTGTAGTCCTTTGTTAAAAAACAAACCGAAAGACCAAAATAATTGAAACAGTTATAATTAAATTATATCCTTTTAGTTTTAATGGTACATTAATTAAAATATTATCAACAAAAAGAAACTTGTATTAATATATTTCCATCATTCATGACTTAATATTCAAATTGAAGTAAATAAATACACATCTATAATCACAAATTAAAATAAAACGTAATTAATAATCAAATATTATAAAATTAATTATGATTAAATTCATGAAGTTCTGGCAGCTATTGTAACACCTAAGGCATTTTTATTGGTCTAAATTTTGGGTTAGAAGAATGAGACTTGAAATGGCAAGCTTTTGCTAGATGCCCAACGATTTTTCCTATGAAATTGTAGAGATAAACTAGGAACCTCATGAGTCTAAGCTTTAGAGAGTAAGGAATGCCATATTAGGTTATTTACCAATAAAATTTGAGCAACCTTCTAAATTTTTGTCCAAAGTAAAAACTTGACTGTCCTCCACTGTTTTTGACATAAAATCGAAGCAAGGATCTAAATCTCTATATTAAGGCTTTTATGACAATAAAAGATGCCAAAAGGGATTCACTACGTTATTATTAGATTTGACGATCCTTTTAGTAAGTTGAACTATTATGAAAGAAAATATTTTCTTTTCTTGTCATTGATGGACATCTAACCTAAAGTTTACTCAATATGAACAAATTAAATTAGCTCATAAGTGAGGTGTCACTTTTGCAAATAGGCTCATCCATGCATTTTTTGATTGAAAATGTAGTTTGTAGAATCTTCTTCAATGTATCTCGAGTTAAAAATATTAAAAAGAACAATCACCTTGTTCCATTCCTTCCAAATTAAATTATGTTGTATTAGTTTACTATAATGACCCTGAATTTTAAATTAAATAAATCCTCTTCCAATTGATATTTTAATTTATTTATTTTAATTTTTTGACAAATGAAGAGTAGTGGCCTAGTTAAATTTATACTAGTTATTTATATGGAGGTCTAAAGTTTGAATCTTACTTAAGCCAAAGGTTAGTTTTATTTTCTTATATGTGAAATTACTAAAGTACCCTTGATTTTTTATTATGAAATATTATAATAAAAATTATAAAAGTTTGGTGGGGTCTCCTTTTGAAATTTTCCCCAACAAGCTTTGGGTCTTGTTTTTTAATTTTATCAATGAGCATATTATTTCATTCTCTCCATTCTTCTTGTCGGTTAGAAGCTGCAGGACACACACAGAGAGGGATCATTCCCATCTGTCTCTATTAAATAAAAATTTTAATTTATTTTATTTAATTTAACATTGCATTTGTTAAATAAAAAGTTTAATTTATTTAACAAATGTATGCACTCCTTTGTTGCTCACAAGTATCATCAAACATGTCATATATGATATAACAGTCATTACAACCACTACATTTTCTTCCATGTTTGGTGAGAAAACATGCATACAACATACAAGTAATGTGCCAAGCATGTTTTTGAAAGGAAATATACAACATAAATTGAAAATAAAGTATTGATTGTTTAATGATGCCAATGATGTTGCCTTTGCATAATCATGTTCTTGATCTTGTTTAATGACACAACAACATCTGTCATATTGCTTCGCATTTCAGGAAAATCAATGCAACAATTTAATGCCAATTCAAAAATACTAGATGTAGAAGTCAATATATCACCAATATATTGATCATCTCCCTGCAATAAATTGGAATCTATGACATTAATTATTTCATGTAGCATTGAGTCACTTACCCAACTCTTCAAGTTCAATCCTGAGACAAACATGTCTTCTGTTGGTTTTTTTTGTGTGAACACTTCCATTAATATAATATAATATAATCCCATAGCTATACACATCTACTTTTGTTGAAACAACTCTAGTAGATCCATATTCTGCATAGAATTGGATTCAAGCACCAAAAAAATCATTTTATTTCTCATAGTCATAATTTACAAACTAGAATAAACTAAATACACATTTAATTAAGATAAATTGTTCAAAATTGATCATTTGTATTGGTGTTTCTTGTGTAATCATTACACTATTATTTTTATATACATTTACAATATAGTAATCCTTGAGAGGCTTGTTTTTAGATTCAACAAAAATGCATGCTGTAGTGATTTGCATCCCCCCTCTCTCATATCATGTACATACACATAGAAATAATTGAAGCAACCAAGCTCAATGAATGCAAAATATTGAAAATAAGAAATCCTTTTGGTTGCCTATTTTATGAAAGAACCTTCCTCAAATAAAAAATTAGAATACATATATATATATATATATACATATATTCGAGTATACTTTCTCTCTATATAAGAATTTGGAAGAAATGGTTTCAAGTATTTATTTAACAAGTGACTTTAATGAAAATCAATTAAACTTCTTATCAATAGAGACTAAATCAAGAAGATCTAATGCTTTGTGGACACAATCATAGTATTGCTCATAGAAAGTAATGAATATTTTGTATATTGATTTTTCTATGATATTGCTAATTTAAATAATAAGTGATAGAGTATGAAAGATTTCATAAGTATCATTTAATAAGGTGACCTCAATGTAATCTAAAAGAAATTAAGGAAAAAAAAAGCATTCTCAAAATATAAATGCAAAAAGAACATGATGAAGCTAGGTTTAGAACAATTACCAGGTGCTATATATCCAATTGTAGGTATTGTTTCTGTATGTATTTTACATTGCCCTTCATCTAAAGTTTGGAAATCCCAAAGTCAGTCACATGAGCAACCATATCACCATCCAACAAAATGTTACTTGGCTTCAAGTCACAATGAATTATTGGTGCTAACAAGCTATGATAGAGATATTCCAAAGCAGATGCTACATTTATCATTACATTTAGCCTTTGTAAAAAATCCAAACAATAATTGTGAGAATACAACCATTTTTCAAGACTCCCATTAGACATGAACTCCATTTTCAAACATTTGAAATCAACATTGAAACAACTACTTATGATCTTCACCAAATTATAATGACCCATGTTACGCATTGTGTTGCATTCCACTTCAAAGCACCTTGACATTTTTTCAGAATCAAAATTAAATACTTTGATTGCAACCATCATCCCATTCAAAAGCATTCCTTTGAACACTTCACCATAACTCCCCTTTCTGTGAAAGTTACTCTCATCAAATCCTATTAGTTGCTTCTAGAATTTCAAAATAAGAAATCCTCCTTAGCCCTCTTAAAATAGATAAGCCCCTCTCAATTGGTTCTCTTAAATTTGATCATCTTTGTCTTACAAGAATAATGCCCAAGACAATTAAAATTATTGACACAACCATGGGTAATATGCGTTTTATTAAAAGTGATTTTGCCCATGAACATTTTCTTCTTCCTTTTTCACAGCGAGGCACTTTTAGTTGTGGATGGCCACAAAGAGCTTCATTCATGATGAAAGATTTAGCAGTCAAATTTGCAAAAACTCCACCACTTGGAATCTCTCCTTGTAGTTTGTTGTAAGAGAGGTTGATACACTCAAGATAAGTAAGTGACTCCAAGGATTTGGGGATCTCACCAGATAAATTATTCCCAGAAAGGTCCAAATTTACTAAGCTCAGCGTATTTCCAAATGATTTTGGAATGTTTCCTTGCAAATTGTTATGTGCTAAGGAGAGATCTTGCAAGTTCTTTAGTCCACCCAAAGCTGTTTGAATATTGTTTGAAATATGATTTCTTGACAAGTCCAGTGATATAAGAGCATTTAAGTTTCCAATACTTGAGGATACATTTTCAACTAAAATATTGGAAGATAAGTTTACTTTCAATATATCCTTCAAATTCCAAAAGGAGGAGGGAATTTTTAAAATTAACTTATTAGAGTCCAAGTAAAGTTCTCATAAAGAAGTAACATTTCCTAAACAATGTGGCATTCCTCCAGAAAACTTGTTTCTGCTTAATGATAAATAGGCAAGCTTTGTGATTTCACATATCTCATCAACGATTAGGCCATGCAGCTCATTACCTTCAAGACTCAAATATTGAAGATCTTGTAAGCCACCTATTACTTTTGGAATTGATCTGTCAAAATATTTTCTCCCAAGTATAGTTCATAGAAACTAGTGAGATTCCCGAAATTTGGCAGAAGATTGCCAATTATAGAATTGCTTCCAAGATTTAAGTATGTCAAGGTTGAAATGTTAAAAATGCTGGACGGAATAGATCCCCTCAACTTGTTATACGACAATTCTAAGTTCTCAAGCTTATGGAGATTGCCTATTTCCATAGGTATTAAACCTATATTCGACATATTAATTTTAGTGAAGTTATTTAAAGTGAATAATAAAAATAGTAAATAAGAGAAATACCTAACAAATGAGATGTATCATTGTCCATACTTCTTTATATATTAGGTCAGTCAAGTTCTACATATAGAGTTTAGCTTTCTTCCCACACGCACGCACATACTAACAAGATGGACACTTATCTTTGACATAGATTCCTTAAATTATTTTTATAAATGTAATTCAACTTATAAATAATTAAAAATAATTCTGTTAAAATAAATAAAAGATAAAGACTTCTTATTTATTTGTACCATAGTCGAGCATTGTAATCTAAATATAAAAATAAATCATACTCTTGGTTTTTTGTCTTAAAGATGCCTCCACTCCAACATTTAATGGTTGAAACTGAGAAAACTTAATTAAGATTTAAGATTAAATTTTCAATTTCAAATATCGCAATCTCTTATGAAATATCTTTGTAATGGTGTAATTGACAAAAAGAACTAAAAATTAATGTTTTTCATTTTGCACAAAATTAAAAACATGTGAACTTGAAAAAATGATTGTAGCAATTATATATAATTTTTTAAACTGTTAAAACATGTCTGCAATGTTTAGGTTTTTAAGATCACCAATTTTATTTGGAATATTTCTTGTAATTAAGCAACAGATAAAATAAACATATATAACAATGTTATGCCTTGTTGAATGAATACCTTCCAAGTTATTGGAACCCGCATTTAACCCTCGAAGCATGGTCAAATTTCCAATACTCTTGGGTATATGACCTGAAAGAAGATTGAGACTTAAAAGCATAAGGGACAGTACCTTAATTAAAGCACAATTCTCTAACGCCATTTAGAAATCACAAATTGGCTAGGCATAAGGTATTCCCAATATTTTCACTTATTTTAAGAAAATACTATTACATTGTTAACTTTATTAAAAATCCAAAGATTCTAGTTTTATTTGTTTTTTGATACTGTAGTTTTACCTTTCTTAAATAAACAAATTATTCTGGGACAAAGGAATTAAATAATTTTTTAGAGAAATAATACTCATCAGGCTTATGTTTAGACCAAATAGCCTAGTATTCTAACAGGGCATAACATATGGTATCATAAGTTAAGTAAGACCCATCATCATCATATAAATTTTGGCTAATATATATTGTATGAGAATAAGACCGTGTAGTTTGCTTAACTAAAAAAGTTGTTTTTGCGGTGACAGTTCATGAGCTAATAGCATGAGCTCACTCTAGATCCTGAACAACTCATATGATGACATCATATATATATATATATATTGTAATATTGAAGGTCATAATTTTTAAATGTCCATTATCTTTGCAATTTCTCTAAGAATATCTCTAACAATATTATTGTAAAAGAACAAACAAAAATGAAAATAAAAAGGCAATGTTTTCATTTAAAATGATGCAGAGAAAACCATTTAAGACAAATACGTGTAGTAATGCATGGGCTATTGAGTTTTTACGTATTTAATTTTTTTATATTTATCTTAAAACAGCTTTGATAGGGGCTACTTGTATATTTATTTATTTATTATGAAAATAATTTGATTCGTTTAAAAAAGAGCTTCATTTATGTAAAAATGAAAAAAAAAACAAAACATTGTTTATTTTCATTCTCCCTTTCTTCTACTCTCCTCTTTCTTTCTAATAGATGTGAAATCTTTTGAATTATTACTTGATTTAACTCGCTTATTTCAAGATATGGAATTGTTTTGAAAACAAAATAGAAAATTGGATATATAAAAAATTATTTTAATCAAAATATGTCATTGAGGTTCATATATACAGGGGTACAAACAGATAGTTTTTTTAGTATGTTTATAGAAACTGTTTTTAATTTAGGCTCATATACAAGGGTATGTAATATGTTTGCCATATATGAGGGTGGAAGATGGAAACAGGGCAGTTGGCTGTGAACTGATGCAAGCTTTTTGGGAAAAACAAAATTTAAAAATTATATAAATTAATTTTATATTTAATAAAAATGATATCAAATTTTTGTTTTACTTTATATTTTTTTCCAAAACAGGTTTGATACGGGTTCCTTAAATTTTGATTACTTTTATAAATATGAATTAATTTGTCAAGGTAGATTTTCGTTTAAATGAAAATAGGAGTTAAAGAAGTCCTGTTTGTTTTATTGTTTGGATCATTACCAATGTCAAATGCATAAAAGTGCAATCAAAATATATCTGACAAGATTGAATTTAGAAATTTGACATAGTCAGTAGTAGTACATACCTGTGAATAAGTTGTCATGTAATACTATCCTTTTGAGCTCCTTGTATTGTGTCCAACCAGCTGGTATAGATCCAAATAATTTGTTGCCTTGAAGAGCCAAAAATTGTAAATTTGGAAGTCCATTGCACATATTAGAAGGAATGCCTCCCAAAAAATTATTCCAACTTAAATCAATTTTCCGCAACTCAGACATATTAAAGATAGCTGATGAAATTTGGGCAGAAAACTTATTTTCGTCTAAATATAAAAGTTCTAGACTTTTAAGATTACCAATCTCTTCAGGAATATCTCCTACAATGTTATATAAAACAGATTCATCAAATTTATTGTAGTCAATCAAAATATAACTCTTGAAGTTGGAAATAATATAGGAAAGTAAAACGTAAGATAATTTTTTAACACTATTAATAACTAATTCTTCATCAATATTTGAATTAGAAAAACGGAAGTCAAAAAAAGATAAGATAATGAAAACAATAAAGGAGAAGAACTGGAGATAGAGCTATAACATAGACAACCCATAATCCGATAGTTCAATAACTATCTCTCATCTATCTCTATGTAGAGAATTAAAAGGAAAATCTTCATTGTCTTGATGTGTGAAAAATAAATAGAAGAAAAAGAAACTGTTGAGAGATTCAAAAGAAAAAAAGCATGGGGTTAGATGGGAAATCTTCATAGAATCATCAAGAACAGTATTATATTATTACCTATATTCTTTAGCCAAGAAAACAGAGGTAAACAGAGTAAAGAATTCTTGTGCATGTGAGCTACTAATCTGAATGCATAGTTAAGTTGAAATTTTGACGGTAAGGCGTCATGAGCTATTGGGTGTATAATTAAGTTTTCAATGTTAATTAAGTCAAAATTATTACAACAACAAAAATAGAAATCACTGAAAATTTTCATTGCATATAACAACATCATATCTCGGTCCTGTCTAAAAATTGGCTTCCCGAGCTAGCATCCCTAAAATTAAAAATAACCAAATTTTTATGCATAAAGAATTATTACGACAGGAAATTTCACAGATGCACAAACTTATTGATACCTTGTAATAAAACAAAAGATGAAAATGAAAAATAAAGTGCATCTTGTTCATAGTAATTCTTAGAAAATAATCTAAAAATGTTGCAAATAAGAACAGAATATGAACAAAAAGAACTCAAATGCTGCCGAAGAGAAGACATCCTAACCAATGTTACTAAAGTTAACAATAACTAAAGTCTCTTTTTGGCTAAACAAAACTAAAGTATTTTTATGAATAAAGAATTATATACATGGAATATTTTGCACGTACATAAATGTAATAATAACCCAATAACTTGAGTAAGAATTAAATTTGATGGCAAGGTATTTTACGAGTATTTTTATAAATTTTGAGGTAAATCTACCAAGAAAAATGGTGGTTCAATGGAAACTCTACTGGCAGCCTATCATGAGGTTCTTTGTTCAAAATCCTTGTTGTGAAAGAAAAGGAATTTTATTTTTTTGATTCAGCCTTGAGAAATTACTAGATTTGATGGACACCAAAGTGTTGCAAATTCACAACACAATTCTTGTGAATTTAGAGCCATGAATCTGAATATGCAGTTGAGGGATCTAAAGTATAATGATCAAAGATAGTGAAGATGTAAATAAAAAAAAGTTTGTGGAGTATTAATTGAATTAAAATTAAAAAAAATACTCATGCATACCTTTCTAGGTATTAAAATATAATTATGTTTGAAGCAAAAAAAAAAAAGGTAGAGATGAATTTAAACTAAAAAAATGACAGAAATTTTACTAACACATTTTCACTGCACTATTATTCATATATATATATATATATATTTATTTTTCACAAATGGTTTTCCAAACATGAAAAAACCTTCTTGAAGCATGTTCTAATTAGAATGAGTTAATCAAATGATTGTCAAGGCATTATTCTTACACATGATTTTTCCTGGAAATATAATTTCATGCCATGCGCATTGTAGTTCGGAAAAAAAAAAAGAGCTCATTTTAGTACTGATGCATAATAAGATATCGTAAAAACAAAACTGAGTAGCACTTACATATTTTGTTAAAGAAGAGCTTGATTCAATAAAAATAAGATAAAGGTTTCTCATTTTATCTAAGAAAGAAATATATCCCAAGGAATATATAATACAACAAGATAGATTAAAGTACAGGAAATTTGAATATAAAAATCGGAACATAGCCTTGTCATTCCCCCCCCCCCCCCAAACAATTCGCTAGATAGAGGCATGAAGAAAAAAGTAACATAACAAGATAGATAGCAAAAAATTATATACGTTTTATGTATGATGTACAGGTTAGACATTAAATTAAAAAATTTTCAAAATATTATACTTCATTATTAAAACATTTAAATCTAACTGATAAAATAAAATATGGCTTTTTTGGCTTTTATATATTCTCTTTTACTCTTCAATTTTTATTACATATTTTGTTGAGCTTCGCATAACTTTTACGAAAAAATTTAGACTATACGTACAGTGATGGTTCATGTTTTCAATTTTTTTTTTTTGGGTGATATCACATATTTGATTTTAGATAGAAGGAATTTGTCCATGTTGTATTATTCATTTGACAAACTAAGAGCAACCGGTTTAACTAGTAAACTCAAACTTGTCTTTATGTCTGGCCGAAAAACTTTTATCTCAATTATTAAACAACTGTGATAATGATTGGACATTTACAGTACTTCAACATTAATATATAAATCTATATATACACACATTTCAAATATTATCTCCAATTTTGAAATTCTAATCAGGATCTAAATAATAATTATGTAAATAATAACTTTCATTTCAGAGAAACTTTATATAAAAAATATTACATATTCAACATCATTCAACAATTCTATTTTTTTAAATTTTTTTTATCAAAAATTGGCTTTCCAAACAAGCAACAAAGAACGACTTCTGAGATTGAGAAAAGAGAAGTCAAAAGAAGATAAGATAACAAAAACAGTAAAGGAGAAGTTGAGATAAAGCTACAAATTAAAGACATAGACAACCCATAATCTGATAGCTCAAATTAAAAGGAAAATCTTCATAGAATTGATTATTGAAAAATAAATAGAAGAACAAGAAACTATTGAGAGACTTAAATGAAAAGAGCACGGATTTGGAAGGATAAATCTTCATGTAATCAATAACATTATTGCATGCTTACCTCTGTTTTGAAGTCCAAAAAACAGAGGAATACAATTCTATAATATTTGATGGACACCAAAGTGTTGTAAATTTCACAACACAATTCATGTGCATGTAAGCCACAAATCTATATGTGTAACTAAGGGCTCTAAATTACAACGATCAATGATGGTGAAGATATAAATGTAAATAATGCCTTTCTTGTTGCTTGCAAGAGCATGAGAAGGTACAAAGCAAGAAATAGATAATGATGGGTTGTGATGTGAATGTGTTCATCCTTTTAAATTTGGAAGATCACCCAAAATTCCTTAGGATTATTGCTTGTCATATGATTAAAGAACTCAAATGAAAAGGACAAAAAGAAAAAAACCATGTTTCTAATGGTGCGAATAAATTTATTTAAAAGTCTAAAAAATATTAAAGAGCATAAATATTATATTTTTTAGCATATTATATTTTTTATGAAGGCATACCTTGTAAATTATTCTCACTAAGGTCTAACGTTTGAAGCATATTCAAACTCCCAATTGCTTTGGGAATATCTCCTATAATTTAAAAATAAAATTTTGCAAGGAAAAAAAATTATACATAATATATTTTAGCATCATAATAAAGGTATAAACTTAAATACCAACAACGATTAATGATGACATGATCAAATGAAAAGTTATGGTCTTAAAAAATTGAACTGGACCAGCCAATTTATTTGATTGAACTGGAACAAGCTCTTGGCCCATTCCAGTACAATGATCAAAAGCGGTCACTGAGTGAATTGGTTTTGATCGATGACCCAAAAAGTGATATAATGTTACAAATGAATTCTTACATAATACATGATGTGGTTAATTATTATGTATTACTAAAAAAACAAAATCAACAGCCAAATTTTGAAGTCTCTTTGTCTTTCCTAGGCCTTTGCCTTACACCTCATATATAAACAAATCTTGGCACTATGCATTGAGGAATATGCTTACCTCTTTTTTTCAGCCCATAAAATAGCGATGTTGATTCTGGTTTATAGGGACTAAAGTTGTCTATTTTCCAATTTTGTAATTCTTGTTTACCGTTTAAGGAAAACAACTGATATGAAGATTTTATATTTTAATGTTGGTGTAGATATTAACATTGTCACACTAGTGATTATGTTCCAATGGACAAAAAAGGTAACAAAAGGAATAAAATGATCGATAGTACCAAACTATCATTTAATAATAGTATATCAAATTTCCAATGCATCTTTATGTTGCCAAACAATTAATTAAAACCCAAAATTGAAGTCATATCAAAAGTGAAAAAGAATAAAGCATAATATACTAAACAAATAGTATTAGACAAAAAACTTTCTTCATACCAAGAGACAGATTTTATACTTTTAAAGTTTCATGAAACGTGCAAAATGATGCAGTATAACTTTGAGATAATTGAGAATATGAAAAAAAAAAAAAGACTACTGACTTTTGGAATGTATTCCATGGGACGATAGTGCTATAAGTGAGGGAGTTAACTAGCACATGCAAATCATTTTACATGTGCCTCTATTAAACTTGCAAAAACTAAAAACCCCTTTTGTAAATTCAATGGAAAAAAAAATAAACATTATATTTCAAACTAAAAGGACATGCAGTTCAATATAAATTAAATATATTGAATCATAACACAATTCATAAGCCAAATACATCATATTGGCTTTTTATACAACATATATTATAAATGGATAAATTTTGATAAAACAAATATAATATGCCATTTAAATTTCACTTATATTGAACTTTATCACTATACTGAATGTTGTTGAACAATCTTTCAAGAAAATGTAACATCCAAAAGACTAAATATAAAATATTAAAGGAATTATGTTAATGTCTTTCTAAAATAAAAATACTTAATAAGTACATGTATATTTTCAGATATACCAGTTCAAATTTTAGTTTATACAAATAGATTGATCCATGCAATGTATAGAAAGAAAAAAGTTATGTTGTAGTGCAATTGAACTAAGAAAATCAATGATAATTTTATTAACACT